CTTTTTCACTCTCCTCCAAAAAAAGTTTAATGAATTTTTACCTTCTCTTTCTTCTATAATATTATCTTTTTTTACTCTCTCCTAATTTTGTAGAGGAGAAAGAGGGGAAAAAAAATCCACCAAAACTTCAATTAGAATAATAAACACTTTTTTCATATTTATATTATCTATAATTTTTTATTATCTAATTATTTATTTTATTCAATTTTTACACGATAACTGTTAATATTTACAAACAATTTTTTTTCCAGTACACAGAAATATTACATTGGTCTGTAAATTACTAAGTATAGGGAGCGATTATACTTGTTATTGAAAAGTTTGACAACTCTTATTACTAAATTAATTATCATTAATTTTCACCAATCCAACGGTTATAATTTATTGAAAATTAATAATTAATTAATAAGTTTACCCAATAAATTATAACCGTTACATTGACAGAAATTAACGATAAATTTAATAATAAGAGTTGTAAAACTTGTAAGTAGTAAGTATAACATCTCCTTGCTAAGTATTAACAAATTATGAATTTCTTTCTTCTAACCTATTCCACTTTTGTCTAAACCAAATACATAGTATTGTTGTTTCCCTTCCTCATGAGGCGTGGTTCCGCAAAAACATCCAAAATGGTTGGTCTCACCCATAGGCTTTTAATTGGCAAGACATATTCCTTGCTACCATTTGGTTCTTATGGGTGTGGAGGAATAATGAGGTGCATGATCCTCTCTTCTCGAGGCCTCACAATCCTATCCTTACCATTTCCTCTTATATAAGAGAGATTAAGCTTGCTGATAGGAGGCTAGCTACTAGCCAGAATTCGACCATGATCAAGCAGCCTGATGGTTCGAAAGCTCCTCCTCAAGGTTGGTGGAAGCTGAATGTGGATGTCGCGGTTAAGAAGAACTCAAATCTAGCAACTTGTGGAGGACTTATTCGAGATGATAGAGGTAACTGGATTGCAAGTTTCACGTACAAGATTGGTATTTGCATCCCTTTGATTGCTGAATGTTGGGCCATTCTCAAAGGTCTTCAATGTGCTTGGAACCTGAATGCTCAAGCCCTGATGATGAAAAGTGACTCTCTTCTTGCTATACAGGCTATCTCACTTGAGCTTAGGAGTACCTCGAACCATGCTCTTGTGATTTGTATCCAACAATGGCGGGATAAGCAATGATAGGTTTCCTTTAAGCATATTAGTAGGAATGGAAATGGTTGTGCTGATTGGCTTGCTGCCTATGCTACCCATTCCCAAGAAAATTTTGTTTTCCTCCTTACCTGTCCCCTTGGTCTAGGACAGTTGCTGGATTCTGATTTTCCAGCTGCGTAGCTTTTTCCTTTTAGGCGCTTGCCCCTTCCTTGTACAAAAAAAAATACATAGTATTGTAGTTGTAGCCTTTATCTATAGTTTCTCTTTGACAAGTACGTGCCACAACAAACAATTTGGAATTATAATATTGGAAAAGTTCAAAAACTCCTCGTGGTATCATTTAGAATAAAAAACCTTCCTATATTTTTTCTCTTATCAATTACCCCCTTGTGGTTTCACTCTGAATCAATTACCCCCTATGCTTTATTTCTTATCAATTACCCCCTTATTCTCATTTTTAAAAAGTTTATTCTACCTTTTTTATAAATTTTTTTCAAAATTACTTGTTTATCTTTCTTTTTTACATTTAAATTTTGATTTTTTGGAAAAAATGATATAATATGAGGGAATTATTTTATTCCAAGGTCACAGTAATAAAAATATGTTACAGAAGACCTACTACTTAATTTTATTAAAAAATTAAGTTATTTTTTTAAAAATGCTATTTTTAATGAAAAATAAAAATTTACAGATTCCAAAATATTTATAATGAAAAATCAAATAAACCTTATTTTTACACAAAATGAAAAATATTGCCACAACTTTATATATTCAATTTTTCCTAAGAAAAACTTAAAGTCATACAACTTATCCGTTTTAATGCTACTAAAAATTAAATGTGATAATAAATAAGTGACACTTTTATGAAAAAAAAATTAATATATAGATATTTTTTATATTAGAGTCATACTCAATGAGATTAAATATATAAAAAAACTAAAAGTAAGAAACCTCAATTAAGAGGTAGATGAATTGAGCTAAGCTCCTCACTTATTAATGAAAAAAAAAAAAAAAAAAGGAATAGATCACCGATACAAAAACATAAATTATAAGGTGCAAAAATGCAAGGTAGTCGATTAAAGAGGGGCAGATTGGTAGATAGTTTCGAATCAGGGGCAAAATGGTTATTAATTAATTAATAAGGGGCAAAAGAGTGAAAAAGCCGAATAATCTATCCCTAATAATAAAGGAATAGATCACTTCTTCAAAAAAAAAAAAAAAAAGGAATAGATCACCGATACAAAAACATAAATTATAAGGTGGTACTTAATTATACTATTGAACTTTATAAATATAATTATATATTTATAAAGTTCAATAGTATAATTAAGTACCACCTTATAATTTATGTTTTTGTATCGGTGATCTATTCCTTTTTTTTTTTTTTTTTTTTGAAGAAGTGATCTATTCCTTTATTATTAGGGATAGATTATTCGGCTTTTTCACTCTTTTGCCCCTTATTAATTAATTAATAACCATTTTGCCCCTGATTCGAAACTATCTACCAATCTGCCCCTCTTTAATCGACTACCTTGCATTTTTAATCGACTAAACGGTTGTTGGGAGATTTAATCGACTAAATCTCTCTACTTAATCGATTAAAATCATACTGACTTATTTTTTTTTTGTAAAATATGAAGATTTAGTCGACTAAATAGGGAGATTTAGTCGACTGGATCTCCCAGCAGCCATTTTTTTGTCTGTTTTGGTCATTTAGTCGATTAAAAATGCAAGGTAGTCGACTAAAGAGGGGCAGATTGATAAATAGTCTCGAATCAGGGGCAAAATAATTATTAATTAATTAATAAGGGGTAAAAAGGTGAAAAAGCCTAGATTATTCTGCATACTCTTATATTATCTACCTTTGCCTACTCTTTTTCAACATCGTTAGATTACAATCTCATCAAATGATGGATATTTACGGAATAAAATAAACTCTTTTTTTCTCTTTTCTTTCTCTTCACTAGCTCCTACACCCTTCCTCTCTTCCTCAGCAAGAAAAGACGAAGCTTCGGGAAAAGAATTTATGACCTTTATCATCACAACAACAAAAGAAATTTATCAATTCTTTTCAAATTCCACAAATTAATTTTTTTACAATCAATTCCTAGAAAAATCTAAAAATAAACAGACCCTAAACTGAGAATTATGGATTGGGATTCATTAACCTTTAGGGGGTGTTTGGTACCCAGATTCTTTTTGGATTCCTTGGGAAGTTGGCTCTGGAGAATTGAAAGTCTATGTTTGGTAGCCAAAATAGCAGCTTTTTCCCGGAAACAATGTTGCCTGTTATTTTCAGTTCATGTGTAAAAAATAAGACGGAGAACATGTAAATAACTCCATCGAATACATGGCTTATTGATTTGCCCGGGAAGTAACAAAACGACCAAAATATTGTAGACGATAATAACCATGCTTTTTGGTGTACTGTCTGTAAGCAAATTGACTTCGTCAAATGAAATGGTCCGTCGTTCTGCAAGGTTGAAGCTGTTGAGTACGAAGATCAAATGAAATGGTCCGTCGTTCTGCAAGGTCAAAATTTTGCTATTTCTAGCTATAAAAAGAATAAAACTTTAACAATTCCAGAGAGAGAAAAAAAAGAAATTTGATGTGTTTGCAGCAAATGGTTGCTTCTTCATCTGGAAAATGAGTAGAAGAAGAAAACAGAGACAACAAAACCGAAATATAAATATAGAGAGACAGAGAAATTGAAGGTACAAATATAAAAGGTGAGTAACCTCGCATTTCCACTAATATTTCACAATCAACCAAACACACACTCAGTAAAATAAATCACAAAATTTCAGGAAAATTTGGTCATACCAAACTACTTTTTAGTAATATTCCAGCAAAATATATTTTCAATTATATTCCAGTAATCTATTGTTCCTAGATAAATAAAAATTTCTTTTCTACCAAACGTCCCCTTAGAAAAATCATGTAACGCGTTCAAGATGTAGACAACGAAATATCTCCTCCATTATATGTAAACATACGAAGTTAAAATTAAGTTATACTGACAGCTTGAATGTTTACTCTTTAGACTATTGAAAGATTTATATTTGTTGAACAGAGAAATTTGTACTGTTGTCGGTGTTTTTTTTAGCAAGTTATGATATCATGTGATCATGCTTTGGCTTTTCCTAATATTATGATGATTGACGCAGCCAAGGAAGAGAAAATAAGGACGGGGGGGGGGGGGGGGGAAGGTGTGTGAGGAGAAAGAAAGAAAAAAAAAAGATTTATTTTATGGGAAAAATGTTTATCATTTTAAATGACACAACTTATATCCTTTCACTCTCATAAAGAGGTGGGACCCATATCTTTATTTTTTTTATCAATTCTCTCTCCTCCTTTATCTATTTCTTTCTCTCTTTTAAAATGACACAACTTTACATCCTTTAAAATGACACAACTTTACATCCTTTAAAATGACACACACTTTACCCTTATTTTATTCCGCAAATATCTACTGTTTGATAAGATTGTAATCTAACGTTGTTGAAAGGAATAGGCAATATAATTGATCTAATGATGGTGATTGGTAATAACATTGATAGTAAATCATGCATTTGCTTTAATACACAACGCTCTCTTCCTTTCCCGGCTCTTGTCAAACCAAAAAAAATAAAAAAATCACCCACATCCGTTGGATGCCACGAAACCGAATCCCGATCATTCATTCAAATTTCAAACTCCCTCTGAAACCCCTAAATTTCAAATACAAACACTCCACACGACCGTTGGCCCCCATTTCCCAATTTCATCCTCTGAAAACACACACTCACCTTCTTCATCTCTTTAGACACCACCTCTGTGTCTTCTCTCCACAATCGCCATGGACCCCGAAATGACGAAGCGCCCCTTGCAAAACAGCACAGCCGCGAACATCGCCGCGGCGAAAACCATAGAGGAAATGTACCAGAAAAAGACACAACTGGAACACATCTTGCTGCGGCCCGACACCTACGTTGGGTCGATAGAGAAGCACACGCAGACACTGTGGGTGTACGAGAACGATGAAATGGTACACCGTGCCGTCGCCTATGTCCCTGGACTCTACAAGATCTTCGACGAGATCCTTGTGAATGCTGCGGACAACAAGCAGCGTGACCCCTCCATGGACTCCCTGAAAGTCACCATCGATGCAGAACAGAACACCGTTAGTGTGTTCAATAACGGCGACGGCGTGCCGGTGGAGATTCACCAGGAGGAGAAGGTCTATGTCCCTGAATTGATCTTTGGCCACTTGCTCACTAGCAGCAATTATGATGACAATGTCAAGAAGACCACCGGTGGCCGTAACGGCTACGGTGCGAAGCTCACGAATATCTTCTCCACCGAGTTTGTCATTGAGACAGCCGATGGGAGGCGCCAGAAGAAGTATAAACAGGTATTTTTTTGGGGTTGATTATAGATTGATTGATTTACTTTTGGTTCTTAAAGTGTGAATTTGAAGAGGAGCTTCACAAAATGGTAAGTGTTATTGCAATGTGACCCAGAAATTACAAATAGTCTAGTGAAAAGCATCGGGCATTTCTCCTTTTAGAGTGTGAATTATGTTTCTTCTTTATATAAATGTTTCAAATTTGTGTGGTTGATATATGCTCAATTTGTGTTTCCATTTTTTTTGTTTTAAGATTCGGGTTGTTCGTAGCCTTAATTGTTATGCTTAGCTTGTGTGTCCACTGTAGTACCTGGATTTGGCATTCAATGAACGGTTCTAACTACTTTAACTGTTAATCCTGAAGTCTGGTTTCGTTTTACTCGAATTGGAGTAAATTTGTAAATTTAGGATCATGCTAGGGTTTTTATTTTTTGGGTAATGAACTCAACTTGAGGTTTATTTGATTGATGATTCACTTTTTGATGTGGGTAGAAATTTGTATGTCATCTATGGAGTTGATTACGGTAGTTTTTTTATGGGGATTCCTGATTGGTTTGCGGTTGAAAGGTGTTCTCCAACAATATGGGGAAGAAGTCTGAACCGGTGATAACAAAATGCAAAGATAGTGAGAACTGGACCAAGGTGACCTTCAAGCCTGACTTGGAAAAGTTCAAAATGACCTATCTTGAAGAAGACGTTGTTGCTTTGATGAAAAAGCGTGTGCTGGACATGGCCGGGTGCCTTGGAAAGACTGTGAAGGTTGAACTCAATGGGCGCTTGATTCGTATGAAATCATTTCGTGATTATGCTGATCTCTACCTGAAATCAGCTGAGAAATCCAGACCAGTGCCCCTTCCCAGGTTCGTCTCCTTAGATTATAGTTTGAGGAGCCACTTTGTTTTTTTCTTCCCATTATTGCTATGCTAACTTGATTTGTTTATTGTTATTAGGATTCATGCAAAAGTAGGTGATAGGTGGGAGATTTGCGCGAGTCTAAGTGATGGGCAGTTTCAACAGGTAACTAGCGAGCTTCTTAAGCAAAGTAACTAGGATTGATTGTTGTTAGTTTGTTGTCTTACACATCCTTAATTTGTTTTTACCAGGTCAGCTTTGTCAATTCCATTGCTACAATCAAGGGTGGGACTCATGTTGACTATATCACCAATCAGATTACAAGCTTTGTGATGAATAAAGTAAATAAGAAGAAAAAGGATGCCAATGTCAAAGCTCACAATGTGAAGAATCATTTGTGGGTTTTTGTCAATGCTCTTATTGACAACCCTGCTTTTGATTCCCAAACTAAAGAAACTCTCACGACCAGACAGGCTAGTTTTGGTTCTAAATGTGATGTTCCAGAATCAATGCTGAAGGAAGGTTCGTCGTGCTACATCATTTATTGGTTATAAAATAAAAAAAGTAACAAGAACTGCTGTTTTACACTTACATGTTGCAAACCTTTGCAGTTGCCAATTCTGGAATAGTGGACACCCTCTTATCATGGGCAGATTTTAAGCAAAGCAAAGATCTGAAGAAATCTGATGGTACAAAGACTCAGAGAATTCGTGGCATTGTAAAGCTAGAGGATGCAAATGATGCTGGAGGAAGGAACTCTGACAAGTGTACCTTGATATTGACAGAGGGAGATTCTGCTAAGGCCCTTGCTGTAAGTTGTCATCTACACCAATAGAGAAGTATATTTCAATTTGTGGTGTCCATTTTTTACAGTTCTACAACCGTTATACTTAGAGAAAATATCATATACAAAAGATTTTTTTACCATTGACTGGAAAAAAAGTTAAATTAATGATGAATAGGGTTTAAAGAAATGTTGTAACACATCACATTTGAACTCCTTTTTGAGGTAGAAAGCATGTAACGACAGTATTTTGGCTCCTGTATGCTTTTACACTATTACTTCCTAACTAATATTAGCCAGCCCCAGTAGGTAGCTTCATTATTCCAAATGACATTAGCAGGAAATAATGACACATCTAGCCTCGCAAAAATGTTTAAGCTAATAACCGAAATTGTTAATTGAAATCAATCACATGCTCACCATTTAAAAAAAATTTCTACTTTTAAAGAACATATGTTCAAATTTTCTTTAAGTAGAGTTTCAAACTTAAAAACGTAAAGATCTACTTTTTCTTCTTGATACCCTCTGCTACTTTTTACAGTGAATTTTTTTTCAATCTCAAACGAAGTTATGTTCTAGATTTGTGACATAATTTATTCTATATGAAGATGGCTGGACTCTCTGTCGTGGGTCGAGACCATTATGGTGTGTTTCCATTGAGAGGCAAATTGCTCAACGTGCGGGAAGCCAGCAGTAAACAAATAATGGAGAATGAAGAAATTCAGAATATAAAGAAAATTCTTGGATTGCAGCAAAACAAAGAGTACACAGGCGTAAAGTCTTTGAGATACGGTCATTTAATGATTATGGCAGATCAGGTGAGTTGATTAAAGATCATAGTTCAGTCTTGTTTTGACTTTTGTCTTCAGTTTCAACAAAATCTTTTAAGGCACAAGCATGTACTATATTTTTGCTAATCACTGAGATTATAACGGTGCTTAACTTTATGTGTGGTTCAGGATTATGATGGGTCCCACATCAAAGGGCTACTGATAAACTTCATTCATTCGTTCTGGCCATCACTGCTAAAAGTTCCATCTTTCATGGTTGAATTTACCACTCCCATAATAAGGGTTAGTATGGTTAATGTTGTTATTGATAAAGATAACATTGAGCAGTCCATACTATTTTATAGAACTTCCATTTTGGATGTCATATTTTTTCTTGGCTGTCTTTGCAGGCTTTTCATTCAAATGGGACAAAATTATCATTTTATTCCATGCCCGAGTATATATCATGGAGAGAAAGCTTGGGGAATAATGCAAATGGTTGGAAGATAAAGTACTATAAGGTTTGTTGTTGGAAGCATGGAGAGAGTATCTCCAGATTAGGTTTATATTTCATTCTTTTTCTTTCAGTTTTTGCTTTGTACGTGCTTATTTTGTTGCTGGTCTTTCTAGGGTTTGGGTACAAGTACTCCTCAAGAAGGGAGAGAGTACTTTCGAGATCTTGATAAGCACAAGAAAGAATTCTTTTGGGAAAATGAGCTGGATGGAAATGCAATTGAACTGGCGTTCAGTAAGAAAAAAGCCGATGATAGGAAGACCTGGATTCGTAATTTTGAGGTGTGCAGTGTTCCCAATAAGAGAATTTTGTGCATTTCATTGATTGATCCTATTTCTAGGGGGGATCTTCTAATAAAATTCTACCCTTCTCTGTTATTACAGCCTAGCAATTTTCGTGATCATATGGCCAAACATATAAACTACAGGGACTTCGTGAACAAAGAGCTTATATTGTTCTCCAGGGCGGATCTTCAAAGGTCTATTCCCTCAATGGTTGATGGCCTCAAGCCTGGTCAAAGGAAGATTCTTTTTTGCTCATTTAAGAGAAAGTTGTTCAAAGAAATAAAAGTAGGCCAATTTATTGGTTATGTGTCTGAGCATTCTGCTTACCACCATGGTGAGCAAAGTTTATCTACCACAATTATTGGAATGGCACAGGATTTTGTGGGTAGCAACAACATCAATCTTCTTAAACCAAACGGTCAATTTGGTACTCGTAACATGGTGAGATGAGCCTGTTTATGACCTTTGGTACCCTACGTTTGTTAAAATATTCTGCATGTTTCTTTTACCTTAAAATTTGTATTTACTGTGAAATTTGCTTTTCCAGGGAGGTAAAGATCATGCAAGTGCTAGATACATCTATACTGAACTAAATACTATTACTCGATGCCTCTTCCACGAGGATGATGACAAACTTCTTGAATACTTGAATGAGGATGGGAAGTCAATTGAACCAAACTGGTATTTTGCTTTCTTCTGTAAAGATTCTAGAGTTTTAGTAAGGATTAACCATGTACATAGAACATATTCAAATTCCTCTTGCCCGACCACACAGGTACATTCCAATTATACCTTTGGTTCTGGTCAATGGTAGTGAGGGAATTGGGACAGGCTGGAGTTCTTACATTCCCAACTATAATCCAAGGGAAATTATTGCCAATGTTAGGCGATTGTTGAATGGTGAGACAATGATGCCAATGGATCCATGGTATAGAGGATATAAAGGAACCATTGAGAAAAGCGCCAAAGAAGGTGGGTATGTAGTCAATGGTATAATAGTGGAAGGGGATGAGCAAACTTTCCGAATCACAGAGCTGCCTATCCGTAAGTGGACTCAAGATTTTAAGCAGTTCCTTGAATCTTTAACTGAAGGAACACCTAATGTCAAGGATCCTCTAATTGAGGTAACCTTACCTAAATATTTCGTCACCATGTGCACAATAAGTTAACTCGTGTCATTTTTTATATAATTTTTTTTTCTTTATGCAGGATTTCCGGCAAAATGGTGATGACGCAACCGTGGACATAGAAGTAAGGCTGAAGCTGGACAAAATGGCAATGGTCATGCAGGAGGGACTGCTTAAGAAATTTAAATTGACTAGCACAATTAGCACAAACAATATGCATCTTTTTGATGCTGAAGGGAAAATTAAGAAATATGACAATCCGGAACAAAGTATAACCTTCTTCATTCAATACGTGGAGTTGTTTTGAATAATATCATATAGTACTTTTCACACTCACAGTTTTATGTCATTTCTGATGCAGTTCTCGAAGAGTTCTTTCCCCTCCGGCTGCAGTATTATGAGAGAAGAAAGGTGAGTTATTGTGGCAATGGGAAATAGGTCTTTATATTCCGCACCTGTTACTAGGAACTGAAATGCAATTTTGTTATGCATACAGAAACTTATACTGGACAATCTTGAACGACTTTTGTTGGTGTTGGACAATAAAGTTAGGTTTATATTAGGGGTTGTGAATGGAGAAATTATTGTCAGCAACAGGAAGAAAGCGGATTTGTTGATGGAGCTGCAGCAGAAAGGTTTCACTCCTATGCCGAGGAAAGGTAAATTTGTAGAACCTCAAGTTGCTGGGGCAACTGATGACAATTCAGAGGAACAGGAAGACGACAACGCTAGAGAGCAGGAAACTGGCTCTGAGCCTGTCATTGTTGAAGGAGCAAGAAGAGGTGACTATGAATATCTGTTATCCATGTCTATTGGAACATTGACCATCGAAAGTGTTCAGAAGCTGCTAGCTGAAAAGGATGAAAAGGAAAAGGAGTTTGAGATTTTGAAGGCAACTCCATCGAAGTCTATGTGGATTAAGGATCTAGATGAGCTTGAGAAGAAACTTGATGTAGGAGACTATTACTTAATCTCATAATCTTCAATTATATCTGAGGAATTAACATATTTATATCTTAAATTGTTATTATCTTTTGCTTATTCCAGGAACTAGATAGCAAAGAGGCAGAGGAGGAACAAAAGAGATCTAGTCAAGCAAGTAAAAATACATCCAATCGCGGTGTTTCAAAAGTTCCTAGGAAAGCAGCCAAGAAGCCGCCACAACCACGAAAGAATACTAAGGCCAAAAATGTTGATCCGGAGGATGATAATTCTTCAATGAATATTGGTAAGCCTGAATTGTTATGATATGATTCATAATTATTATGTGTAATATTTTGAATTTTGGTATGAATTTTCTCTACTTGCATCCCCAGAGAATGATGCTGAAGTCACTAAACCAAAAGGCAGAGCAAGTTCTAAGAATACTGAAAAGGTATGCCAATTGCCCAAGTTCCTGTATTGCATGTTTTCTTCAAATTATGTTGAGCACTTACTCTGTCACATGCCTATTATCAGGTTGCTGATGATGAAATTCTATCTCTTCAAGAACGCCTAGCTGCATATAACTTCGGAGCATCTAGTGATCTATCGGCAGGTAAATGTTTTTGGGCTACAGTAGATAAATGGATTCTGAATCTTCCAATTCCATTTATAATACGACATGCTAGTACTCAATATTTGTTTCCACAGCCATGGAAACTGAAGAGCCATCTGTGCCTGCTGGGAAAAAAGAGTATAGCAGAAGGGGTGGTGCAAACAAGAAGTCCTCAAGTACCATAGTGTTGGATTCATCCGATAGTGATAGAAATGTTGATGATGACGAGGAGGACGAAGACTTCGAACTACTGCAGCAGGCTGCCCCAGAAGCAGGGAAAAAGAAGGGAGGGAGAAAGCCTGCTGCTCAAAATGCCAAGAAGCCACCTGCAGCCACCAGGAAGAGAAACGTAGGCAACAAGCAATCTCAGGCATTATTGGGTCAAAAGTTTATAACTGATATGTTGCAGCCAGCTGAAAGTACAGGGATATCACCAGAGAAGAAAGTGAGGAAGATGAGGGAGTCTCCGTTTAACAAGAAAAGTAGTTCTGTGCTTGGCAGGGTTACTGAGAAAAATGAAACTGCAAGTGAGGACTTGTCGGGTTCTGCTTCTAACTCTCCCCCTAGCTCAGAGGTGGTTGAGATTGCTCCAGCAGCAGCAAGAGCTAGACCTCAGAGGGCCAATCGTAGGCAAGCAAGATATATAGTGAGTGAATCCGAGAGTGACGATGAGTCTGATGATGATGCTTCGGATTTTTCTGATTTTGACCAAGATGAAGACTAGCCTAGTCCTTAGTGTATATAGGTGAAACATGATGAGTTGCATTAATATATGCTTTGAACAAATGTGATGTGTGTCTCGTGGTTTTTTACTTCCAAATTTGATGATTCTGAACTTGTGAGCACTTAATGTGATTGTATGGTTTCTGAAAAATTTATTATCACGATGATTTATGAATCAATCAAATTTATGAAATTTTAATTTTTTTTGGCTCCAAAATGCAATGTCAAAACTGCATTTTTATTTTTTATTTTTTAGTTTCTTAGGGGAAAGAATCATGGTAGACTAATTCTGTTTGGATTTTTTTATTTTTAGCTTTTCTTCTTAAAAGTAGAAGTTAGGCCAATTTTTTTTAAGAAAACTTACTTTTTTTTATAATAAAAAAAAAAGTCTAAAACCAAAATCTTGTAGGAGGAGTTTTTTTTAATACTTTTATGAGTTTTTCTTAAATTGTGTGTATTTTTTGAAATAAAAAGATATATATATATAGAGAGAGAGATTTTTCTTGAAATATATGTTTTTAAGTAACTTTTAAATTAAAATTTTTATATAATTATTAAACAACTTTTAATTTTTTTAAACTCTTATTTTAGTTTTAACTTAATTTAGCTTCTAGCTTAAAACAAAGAATCCAAACGTATTCTAATAATTCTATGCATGCAATGCATGACTAAAACAAAGAATCCAAACGTATTCTAACAGAATCATGGTAGACTAATTCTGTTTGGATTTTTTTATTTTTAGCTTTTCTTCTTAAAAGTAGAAGTTAGGCCAATTTTTTTTAAGAAAACTTACTTTTTTTTATAATAAAGAAAAAAGTCTAAAACCAAAATCTCGTAGGAGGAGTTTTTTTAATACTTTTATGAGTTTTTCTTAAATTGTGTGTATTTTTTGAAATATATATATATATATATATATATATATATATATATATATATATATAGAGAGAGAGAGAGAGAGAGAGAGAGATTTTTCTTGAAATATATGCTTTTAAGTAACCTTTTAAATTAAAATTTTTATATAATATTAAACAACTTTTAATTTTTTTAAACTCTTATTTTAGTTTTAACTTAATTTAACTTCTAGCTTAAAACAAAGAATCCAAACGTATTCTAATAATTCTATGCATGCAATGCATGACTAAATATGATATATTATGTTATGTTAAGTGAATCCAAATAAATAATATTACTTGAAAGATTCATTTTCTGTGCAATCACGTACACTCGATTTCAATATATATAAAGATAAGTTATATTTATAATTATTTTTACCTTACAACCTTCAAAATCAAATGAATGGCTCTAATTTGATACCATTTTATAATCGTTGATTTGATTTTATTCTAATAATAATAAATTATATAAGAGTTTGTAAAGAAAAAACAAGTATAAGTTTAATCTCATATATATATATTATATATAGGGCTTATCTAGTCTCATGTTGCATGAGAGAAGAAATTTTATGTTGTAGATACATAGTGGTGGGGTCCACTATCTAAAAAATAAAAAAGAAAGAAAAGAAAAATGTTGCACGGTTATCGAAGGGTGTGTAGGAAGAAAACTTACCTCATGTGACATGAGAATAATTTTTCCCATATATATATATATATATATATATATATATATATATATGTAAAATCATTTCTGCAGCCGCTATACGTACAACAACTAGGGGTGTAAATGGACTAGGCCGTCCTACAGGGGCCTATGGCCTAGCCTATATTAGGCCAGACTTGGCCTATTATAAATAGTAAAATAGAACAGGCCTAGTCTTTTAAAGAAACCTATTTAGAAAACAGGTCATAGGCTTTTTTGTACATGTCGGGCTTATAAGCCTACAGGCCGGCCTATATCATATTATTTATTTAAAATATAATAAATGAAATTATTATTTTAATAATTTTGAATAATAAAATAATATTATTTTAGTTATTCTTTTAATTGTTGAATGTTTAATAGGCTTAAACAGGCTAACAGACCTAGGTCAAGGCTTTTATTTTTTAAATATAGGTCAGGCCAGACTTGAAATTTGTGGCCTACACAGACTAATAGGCCAGGCCATACGCAAAGTTTTTTATTTTTACTTTCACAGGCCTGACCTATTTAAGCCAAAGCCTAACCTAGCCTATTTACACCCCTAACAACAACGACAAGTGTGTAGGGTTATAATTCTCCATATTTAATACTTTCATTCTTCGTATGGTTATGATTCCCCGCATTTAATGTTTTCAAGTATATATATGGCAAATATTTGATTGCTGCACGTACAGCAACTGCAGAAATGTAAACCCCATATACATATATATATATATATATATATATATATATATATATGGGATAGGATCCTTTGACATCAGTGTCAAATTTAAAGTTCGACACCTCGTTTGAGAGCCGTTAGATAAAAAAAGATCAATGGAGTCACATGCTTACAAATCAGAATCGTTGATCTTTTCTGATCTGACAGCTCTCAGATGAGGTGTTAAACTTAAAATTTGACAATGGTGTCAAATGATCTTACTTCTATATATATATATATATATATATGGGAAAAAGTTTCCGATGTTACTTTAGATAACTTTATCTAATGTTCATCGAAACGACGTCGTTTTGGGGTTGAAAAATTAAAAAATTAGAGTATAATGACCCTCACATTTATTATGGATTTAATATTGAAGGATAATTACAAAGAAAAAGAAATAAAGTCACTTTTGGTGAAAAATGAGTTTAAATGACAGTTAAGAGGTAAAAAATGCGGATAAATAAAGTTATCTAAAAGTGAAAGTAAAAATAGAAACGTGACTAGAAAAATATTCTAGTCTATTGGTTAAAGTTTGGTAATGAATGGAGGTGTGTAGATAGATGAGCTTATACCCGCTAGTATAATGAATTTATATAAGTGACTCAAGGGAGTCACTGTTCCCTTCTCTTTACGGACGCGAGACAGAGAGAACGAAGGAAAGAAAATGAAAATGGAGATTTTGATTAAAATTCTTCCAAAATTCATAACTTGAGCTAGAGACCTCCAAATCACTCCGTTCCAAAGCCAAACCTGTGAGAAATTTCGAGAGGAATCTATTGGTACCAGTATTTCTGAGTGGGGTTCACTGTAGAGAGAGATCTTCTCCCCCAAAGAATTCGAATTTCATGGAAAATATGGGTTTTGATGGAGCTTGAAGCCATGGGAGCTTGAAGCAAGCTTCTCCCTTCATTCTAGGTAAGTTCATGTTAAGAAATCTTTGTTTTCTTTGAGTTTTGAGAAATATTGAATATAGGTTTTCATTTAAAAAAATTTGGATTGATTGAGCATGTTAGAGCTTAATTCAGGTTTAGCTCATGTTGAGAAAAGTGTTTAGATGAGAATTTTAACGGTGAAAATGTATTTTGGAAAAGATGTATTGTTGTATAGTGTTCATATTCGATACATGTACATTTATGTATTCAGGCATGATGATATGACTATGTAGTATTCAGTTATGTTATGTATTGGATTGCATGCTATTAGATTTGTGGCACGGAGCCAAGTTCAGCATGCGCCCATAGATGGGTATCTGAGTATATTTGCATGACTGGTACTTCTAGAAATATATATTGTTTAAACTGTCTATCAGGAACTCTTGAGTGTGGGATTGAAAAATCCCCAGTTGTCCGATTTACAGAGGTTACTCTGTCCGATTTTCGTCTCCGTAAAATAAGAATTAAATTAGAAGAAGTATGCAATGTGATATGTCATGTGAAAAAGGATTAAAGAAAAAGAAAAAGTTAGTTCGTATTTTCGTAAGTTAAGTCTTCCGCTGTTTCTGTTTGTATCATATGTATGTTAATTGAACCGGCTCGAGACGGGGATGTTACATTTATGGTATTAGAGCAGTTGCTCTAGGGAGTTACATGATATATAGCATAATATATTTGAAGTTGGAAGTTCTTGAGTGTTTTCTTGCAGTGCTGTATAATGCATGTGTGATCACTGAGTGTGAGCGTAGCTAACTCATTCCTTAGTGTAATATATGCAGAGATATGGTTCCTCCAAGGAGAACTCGTAGAACATTTAATAATCATGATCCACCACCGGATCATGTTGTAGCGATTTTGGCTGCACTACAGCAGACTTGGACTGCAACTAGGCAGAAAGAGCTTGAATTAATAATGAAGCATTTGATTTGACTGTGATAAGGATGAAATTTCGAATTTTCGTCAGAGAAGGAAATTGAATTTACAATCGACTTGTTACCTGGCGTGGGGCCTATCTCTCTTGCCCCATACCGGATGTCACCTCTGGAATTATCTGAATTGAAGAAGCAGATCGAAGACTTGTCTAGTAAGAATTTTATCAGACAGAGTGTATCTTCGTGGAGAGTCCCGGTGATCTTTGTTAAGAAGAAGGACGAGTCTATAAGATTGTGTACAGATTACCGGCAGTGGAACAAGGTTACTGTCAAGAATAAGTATCCTTTGCCGCGTATAGACGATTTGTTGGATCAGTTGCGTGGTGCGACTATATTTTCTAAGATTGATCTTCGGTCCGGGTATCATCAAATCCGGATAAAGTCGGATGATGTTCCGAAGACAGCTTTCAGGTCCTGATATGGGCACTACGAGTACCTGGTTATTCCTTTTGGGCTTACGAATGCACCAGCCGTTTTTATGAGTTATATGAATCGGATCTTTAAAGCCTATCTGGATCAATTTGTGGTTGTCTTTATTGATGACATACTGATATATTCAAGGTGCAAAGAAGAGCATTCTGAGCATTTAAAGATTGTTTTGCAGATTCTGAAAGAGCATCAGTTGTATGCTAAACCGTTAAAGTGTGATTTCTGGCTTTCTGAGATACAATTTCTGGGCTATGTCATTTCATCTGAAGGAGTGGCAATGGAACCGAGTAAGATTGAAGCAGTGTTAGATTGGGAGCGTCCTAAAAATATTACAGAAATCAGGAGTTTTCTTGGTTTGACTGGGTATTACAGGTGTTTTATTGAGGGATTCTCACGGATGGTACTACCTTTGACACGGTTAACCCGTAAGGGGAACCCATTTGTGTGGACCCAAGAATGTGAAGTGAGTTTTCAGGAGTTAAAAAGGAAGTTGACTACAGCTCCGGTATTGATATTGCCGGATCCTACCAGTAAATTTGTGGTGTATTGTGATGCTTCTAAGTTTGGGTTAGGCTGTGTTTTAATGCAGTTTCGTCAGGTGGTTGCTTATGCTTCTCGGCAGTTAAAGCCGCATGAGAAGAACTATCCGACACACGATCTTGAGTTGGCAGCCGTAGTGTTCGCATTGAGAATCTGGCGACACTTTCTATACGGGGGCCGATTTCATTGTCTACAATGACCACAAAAGTTTGAAGTATCTGTTTGATCAGAAAGAGCTGAATATGAGGCAACGCCGATGGGTGGAATTCCTGAAGGATTATGATTTTGAATTGCAATATCACCCCGGTAAGGCTAATGTAGTAGCAGATGCTTTAAGCAGAAAGACGCTTGGTATGGCCAATTTGATGATTTCTGAGTATAATTTGATTGAGAAATTCAGGGATCTCTGCATTCCTGTGAATACCGAGGATAGTCTGCATTTATTGACTACTACGGTAGTCCAGAACTCATTAGTTGAGCGGATCAAAGAAGCTCAATTGCTTGATGAAGAGATTCAGTCCATGAAAGAACAGGACTTTGTGTCCACTGATAGGTTCGGTCTTAAATTTTACAAAGATCGGATCATTGTTCCGAAGGGTCAAATGGTAGATGAGGTATTGGCTGAGGGCCATATGGGTAAGTACATTATCCATCCTATTGCTACCAAGATGTATCAGGCCATGAAACCAAAATTTCTGGTGGTCTGGTATGAAGAAAGATATTGTTTAGTTTATGAATAAGTGTTTGATATGTTGTATATGTGCATTCATTCACGTTCATATAAATATTATATGATTTTTGATGTAATGATGATATATGTTATGAGAATCCTTGTCAGTGACCTTGGTATGTTGACTGCCTATGGCTTTGACCCTGGGAGTTATTTTCATACTACAGTTTGTGTTGATTGCCTATGGCTTGACCCTGGGAGTCACACTAGACATGTGAGACATGTCAGTTAGCTATTCTTGGGGAGAGCCCTTGAATAGTTAACCAGAGTATTAGTTATGATGTGATGCTTTGCATTTAGCATGTATCAAGGATATTCCTTGTGTAATTCATAGAGTGCAGTTTCCCTGGTCATTAAAATTTGTAAATTGTATTATCAGTGTAAGGACTGGTGTACAATGAAATTGTAAATTGTATTATCAGTGCAAGGACTGATGTACAATAAATTGTAAATTATATTATCAGTAGAAAGACTGATACATTGATGTTTTAGTGGAATTATATTTTCAGTAAGAAGATGGATGTAATAAGTAAGTCCATTATATGCTAAACAAGTCATGTTTAGACCAAAAATGATAAGTTTAGAAATTTTACGATTTTGCGTGCAAACAGTGCACAATTTGTAATTCACAGGGCACTTCGTTAAAAACAGTGCAGAAACCCAACTGTGAATTGTTATTACTGTTCCTTAGGGAATAAAAGTGAACTTAAATGAGCTCAGAGAAATAAAATGACGAATATAAATTTGAGAATGAGAAGCCCTATGGATTACTGCAGCCCTTGAATATTCTGGAATAGAAGTGGGTTAGTATTTCTATGGATTTTGTAGTAGCATTGCCGAGAACTTAGGCTGGTTTTGATTTTATGTGAGTTATGGTAGGCAGATTGATTAAGTATGCATATTTCATTCCAGTCAAGATGAGTTGCTCTATTGAGCAGTTGGCTCGATTATATGTAAAAGAGATTGAGAAACATAAACCCTTTGAATTTTATGAAGGGAATCATGTGTTTATTAGTTTGTCTCCGACTACAGGTTTAGGCGTGCTCTAGGTGTGAGGAAGTTAAGTCCTAGGTTCATAAGGCCCCACCAGATAATAAAGAGGGTCGGACCTGCGGCGTATCAGCTTGCCTTACCTCCACATTTGTCTAATTTGCATGATGTTTTTCGCATCAGTCAACTTTGTAGAGATGTATCTGATGTGTCCCACATTGTTCAACACGACGATAATGAGGTAAAGTAAGATTTGAAGTTTGTTGTGGGACCACTGAAAGTTCTGGTTCGCGATGAGAAAGTATTGAGGAACATGGTTATTCTTATGGTTAAGATACAATGGGTTAAGATACAATGGGAAAGTTTGACTTCTGAGGATGCTACTTGAGAGCGAGAGAATGATATTCTCCAGCGTTATCCTGAGTTTGACGTCAGGTATGTGTTATGTTATATGTGTGATTTTGGGGGCAAAATCCTTAAAAGGTGGGGTGAATATAATGACCCTCACATTTATTATGGATTTAATATTGAAGGATAATTACAAAGAAAAAGAAATAAAGTCACTTTTGGTGAAAAATGAGTTAAAATGACAGTTAAGAGGTAAAAAATGCGGATAAATAAAGTTATCTAAAAGTGAAAGTAAAAATAGAAACGTGACTAGAAAAATATTCTAGTCTATTGGTTAAAGTTTGGTAATGAATGGAGGTGTGTAGATAGATGAGCTTATACCCGCTAGTATAATGAATTTATATAAGTGACTCAAGGGAGTCACTGTTCCCTTCTCTTTACGGACGCGAGACAGAGAGAACGAAGGAAAGAAAATGAAAATGGAGATTTTGATTAAAATTCTTCCAAAATTCATAACTTGAGCTAGAGACCTCCAAATCACTCCGTTCCAAAGCCAAACCTGTGAGAAATTTCGAGAGGAATCTATTGGTACCAGTATTTCTGAGTGGGGTTCACTGTAGAGAGAGATCTTCTCCCCCAAAGAATTCGAATTTCATGGAAAATATGGGTTTTGATGGAGCTTGAAGCCATGGGAGCTTGAAGCAAGCTTCTCCCTTCATTCTAGGTAAGTTCATGTTAAGAAATCTTTGTTTTCTTTGAGTTTTGAGAAAGATTGAATATAGGTTTTCATTTTAAAAATTTGGATTGATTGAGCATGTTAGAGCTTAATTCAGGTTTAGCTCATGTTGAGAAAAGTGTTTAGATGAGAATTTTAACGGTGAAAATGTATTTTGGAAAATTAAAAATACCGTATTTTTGAATAGTGTCGTATACGTGAATAGTAACGCATACATGAATAGTATTGTAGAGATGAACAGTGTCGTATATATCAATTAACGAATCTTGGATTAGAGGTGTGTGATAAGCTTGAATTTGATGGAGTAAAGCATTGAAATCATGAAGTTGGCATGATTTCCTTTATGTGCCTCTTAGCCATTTTCAAAGGAAGTATGTGCTATGAGTTACTGTTTTACAAAGCGAGCATACTTTTATGCGTGGAATGATATTCTAAGGTGTATGGACCTTCGCTTTGGTGAAATAAAAAAGAAAATAAGGTAGCTCCTTTGTATGGCCTTAAAATGAGTTTTGGCCATTTTCAAATGAGGTATATGTTCGGAGATATTGTTTCGCAAAGTGAGGATACTTATATGCGTAAAATAATTTATATAGGTGGCTAAGCTTGGGTTTAGGCACTAGACAAAGAGAAATCTTATAGCTCCTTTGTAATGGGCATTCGGCCTTAAATTGGGAAAAATAGGCTTTTAGGTGCTAAGAGGAGTAATGAGTGTTCTAAAGGCCTTTTGGGACTATCCTAAGACTAAGTGAATATATGGAATTTTGTGGGGATTTGTTGAACAAAGAACCACCCACTCATGACTTAATATGATTAAGTAAAAAGAAAATAAACAATAAAGTGTGTGTCTTGTATATTTACATGGCATTATATCATTTTATTGAGTTTTATGTTGAATTCCTTCTCTAGGTGTACCTAGGGACTGTGAACGTTTGGATTCTCGTGGAGTATGATAAGTAGCTTGTTCTTCAAGTAAGCAGATTGTAAAGCTCAAAGAGGTAAGCTCTATGTTTATGGGGTTCGCTCCTACTTTGTGTTCCGCCATAGTGTACGGACTGTGGTCAGGTTGTATGATATGTATGAGATACATGATATAGATGCATTCATATAGAGCTATATGATAATATGATATGTTTTGTTTTGATGTATTTACTTTGATATGTGTTAATATGATATGTTTTTTTATGATATGACTTCTGTAATATGATTTCTGTAACAATATCTGGCCATTGATTGTATAGTACCCGGATGTTCGCTTTGGGGTCCTCCCTCGGGACTGATGGTGTACGCCTCTGATATGTTCTGGTTCCGCTTTGGGGTCCTCCCTCGGGAACACGTGCGTTGATTTCCGCTTGGGGTCCTCCCTTGGGAATGACTGCGTACGCCTCTGATATGTTCTGGTTCCGCTTTGGGGTCCTCCCTCGGGAACACGTGCGTTGATTTCCGCTTGGGGTCCTCCCTTGGGAATGACTGCGTACGCCTCTGATATGTTCTGGTTCCGCTTGGGGTCCTCCCTTGGGAACACGTGCGTTGATTTCCGCTTGGGGTCCTTCCTTGGGAATATCCGCGTACGTTTCTGATAAGATATGTGTATATGTTTTGTTTAGTTATGATATTTGATTTTATGACATGTTTTATGGGATATGAATGATGATTTTGTAAATGATATTTGTTACGTACGTTGATTTCCGCTTGGGGTCATCCCTTGGGAACGATTGCGTACATCTTTGATATAACACGTTTTGTTCTGATGTGAGTATTGTGATGATTTTTGTAAAAGATATTTGTTACGTGTGTTGATTTTCGCTTGGGGTCATCCCTTGGGAATGACCGCGTTTGTCTTTGATAAGATATGTATATATGCTTTGTTCAGTTATGATAATTGCTTATATGATGTTTTGTATATTATGTATCTGACTGTCATGCAGGAAGTGAGCCCAGGGTATGGAGGGTTTTCCATAAACCTGGAGTTTACTAGAGATTCGTCTCTAACCCCGTTTGGGGATATGATTTCAGGAACACAGTTAATTGAAGAGCCTCATGGGACAAGGACACTAACCGTGGCTAGAGGTACTAGTATGAGGATGTGGAGTTCTGGGTGGTCGGATGCTACTATTTGTTTTAGACGTATTTTTGGAAAAGATGTATTGTTGCATAGTGTTCATATTCGATACATGTACATTTATGTATTCAGGCATGATGATATGACTATGTAGTATTCAGTTATGTTATGTATTGGATTGCATGCTATTAGATTTGTGGCACAGAGCCAAGTTCAGCATGCGCCCATAGATGGGTATCTGAGTATGTTTGCATGACTGGTACTTCTGGAAATATATATTGTTTAAACTGTCTATCAGGAACTCTTGAGTGTGGGATTGGAAAATCCCCAGTTGTCCGATTTACAGAGGTTACTCTGTCCGATTTTCGTCTCCGTAAAATAAGAATTAAATTAGAAGAAGTATGCAATGTGATATGTCTTGTGAAAAAGGATTAAAGAAAAAGAAAAAGTTAGTTCGTATTTTCGTAAGTAAGTCTTCCGCTGTTTCTGTTTGTATCATATGTATGTTAATTGAACCGGCTCGAGACGGGGATGTTACACATTGTCTAGTAATTTGAGTCTTTAATTTCTTCTGTATAACACAAGAGGAGGAATTAAAAGTGAGAGAATAGGTACTATTATTTGTTAGTCTTGATATAGAAATCAAGTTAATGTTGAATTCTGGAACAAAAAACACATTTGTTAGAACAAGTAATGGGGAAAGATGTACAGTTCCAGAAATATTGGTTATAATACTTGAACCATTGGGCAAAGTTATAGAAATTGACTCAATTTTTCGAATGGAGGATAGCTGTGATAAATCGAAGGTGATGTGGTCTGTTGCACCAGTGTCAAGTATCCATTTGGAATTATCATTACCTGGAGAATTATTGAATTCAGAATTGCAAGTATGAACAACATTGACTACATGTGTTAATGGTCCATCTTGAGTTGTATCAGTAATTGACTTTTTCTGCAGCATGTTGAGGATCTGTTGGTATTGACCATGAATCATATCCATAGAAGGAAATTTCTCTGTTTGAATGGATCCTTGAACTGCATTGACTGAGGAACCATTATGAACATATGGAGTTGGATATCGTTTATATCCTGGTGGGAATCCGTGGAGGATGTAGCAAGTTTCAACAGTGTGGTTCGTCTTGTGGCAATGTGTACAAATCTTGTTTGGTGAGTTCCTTCCATAAGATCCACGTCCTCTTCCTCTTCCATAAGATCCACGGCTAACATTAGAATTTCCTCGCCTATAATTGTTCTGATCTCCCATTGCTGCAAAAAACTTGTGAATTGGGAGCATTAATCTGATGATCCTCAGATGTAAACTGACGTTCTTATTGTGAAACAAGTGAAAAAGCTTTCACCACATTTGGTAATGGCTCCATGAGCATAATTTGAGATCGGACTTGAGCAAATTTCTCATTCAATCCTCTCAAAAATCGTATAGTCTGATCCTGATCTCGGGAATTCCTCATTTGAAGTATGGCTCCGCAAACACATGGGACAGAAGGAGAAGGAAGTGGCTTTAAACTTTCCAACTCATCCCACATGGTCTTTAGATGTGTGAAGTACTCAGTCACGTTCTTGTCCCCTTGATTCAATCTATGCAAGTCTTCTTGAAGGTCAGCTATGCGAAAGACATCCGATTGTGAAAATCTATTATGTAAATCATGCCAAACATCTGAAGCTCTTTCAATCCACAGAATTGATTGAGCTATCGTTTCTGAAATCGATCTTTGTATCCATCCAGTGACAATAGTATTGCAGCGTTCCCAAGCCTGGTATTCTGGTGGAACAATGGTTCCACTAATGAATCCAATCTTATTCTTCGTCAAGAGTGCCATGGACATAGCACGAGCCCAAGCATGGTAGTTTCTACCATTCAATGGTACAGAAACTAATATTTGTGAGGGACTTTCACTCGGGTGTAGAAAAAGTTGATGAGATGGATTTGTAAGGAACTCAGGTAAAGGAATTTGATTCACCATAAAGAAAGACGAACAAGAAACTGATCAAGATTGAAAGCTTGAAAGAAAAATGATGAAGCAAAGTACCAGAGCTAGATGAGCTTTGATACCATCTTGAGAAAGCAAGAAACGCAAAAGCAGAGCATTGTGCTCAGTGTAAATGAAATCTGCATAATTCTCATTAAACTAGAAATGAAGCTTACAATGATATATATACATACCGTTGCTACCACTCTAAATAAACTGAATCCGTAATTAGCGGGAAGTAAAAAAACTAACTTATCTAACCAACTTAACAGAACTAACTACTCAGTTATTCTATCATGATTCTGTCTACGTGTATGCATTATATCAGCTGCATTTTTTGAATCACGTTGCTGGACAATTAAGTTGGGCTTGGGCTGTTGTTGAGATTTGGGCTGAGTGTTATCCTTGTGCAATAAGCAGATTTTGCTTGGCTAGTTTTCTTTATTGTTATTCAGTTTTTGTTCTCTTTAAACATGATCTTATAAACCGTAGCACTATATTGATTGGCCAGGCATCAGACTAATTTCTTTGTTCGCTGCCTCAATGCTCCAAACTTATGTGAACTCTATTCCCTGATAGGAGCAGGGACTTAGGTTTCCTCTTGATATTCTATATTTTGTTTGACAATACATTTTCTCCCCTGTCACTCCCAAAACAAGGTAGATAAGTTGTTCTTCATTGACAATATGTTTCTAATTTTTCATGAAGTTTTTGTTTCTTTGTATGTCTTTCCTTCTGACAAAAAAAGGGTGTGTTGTTTCCTTTGACCATTTTGGAAGTGGGTGGGGGGAAACAGATTTAATTATGGTATTTACATGATTTCTTCTGCTTCTTTTTTAACGTTTTCGTCAAGAAATCACTTGTTGTGTACATGATTATCCAAAAAGAAAAAAAAGAAAAAAGAAAAAAAAAACTTCTCAGGTCTAGTATGCTTAACTTTGTAAAACAGGTGAATAAGGCAATTAAATGGATAAATTTCCAGAAGTCATCTACTTGGTTCATATCATAGAAATATTGGTGTACATATTTATTATAGTGATCCTAAAATTCCTAATATTGTATAAAATAAATATTTTTCCCAATTGCATTATGTTTTGAGTTCCCTACTCAATCAAAATGTCAAAATTTGAAGGTTTTCTGCCATACCTCTGTTGGTTGTAGTAGAGTCTCAATCTAAGCAAGCGCTGTCCTCCTCACACATATTTTCTAGTTGAACAATCAATTTTCTTGAGGAACAGTTGTGTTATCAACTTTTGGTGCCTTGCTGAGCTTGACATTTATTACCTTCTAATATTGAAGAACAGAGAAATGCAACTAATTCATCTCACCTGCCCACAGCTGTATAAGCTCACGTGCCTCTTTAGTGAATTAGTTATTATCGTTTTGTTAGTTACTGCAGCTTAGTTTAACTTTGTATAAATAGCAAATAGTTTAGCTTCTGAAACTTAACTTCTTCATTTTGTATCTTTTACCATTCTCTTCAATATATGAGAAATGGGTTCCTTTAAGGTAGGTATACCAGAAACTAAGATGGTATCAGAGCAACCTTGCTCTGGTATTCATTCTTGATCCATTCTTTCTTTCTTTTTCCGTTGCAATACTCTCTCTTTCTTGTTTTTTTTTCGTCCTTCCTTTGCATCTTTCCATGGCAAATCAGAATCACGCTATGGATTATCTTACAAATCCTGGTAATCCCTATTATCTGCATCCCAGTGAAAGTCCTGCTCTCGTTCTTGTTCTTTCACCTTTAACTGGCAACAACTATCATACATGGGCAAGAGGCATGTCCATGGCTTTGCGTTCGAAAAACAAGTTTGGTTTTGTAAACGGAAGCATAGCAGTTCCAGGTGAAAATGATTCTCTTTTTTCAATATGGAATAGATGTAATATAATGGTCTTGGCATGGTTGCATCGTTCTATTTCAGAAGTGATTGCTCAGTCGATCCTCTGGTTAGATAAAGCCTCTGATGTATGGGCAAATATAAAGAAAAGGTACTTTCAATCCGATGTATTTCGAATATCCGATTTACAAGAAGAAATTTATCGTCTTCAACAGGGAGATAGGTCAGTTACAGAATTCTTCACACAAATGAGGACTCTCTGGGATGAACTTGAGAGTTTAATGCCTCTTCCAACATGTGCATGTGGGGCTATGACACAAGTAAAAGCTGATCGTGAACGTGATTTAGTAATACGTTTTTTAAAGGGATTAAATGAACAATATGCAGGTGTTCGATCAAATGTTATGATGCTTGATCCTTTTCCAGATATGGATAAAGTTTTTTCCCTGGTTGTACAACAAGAACGATAGTTTCATTCAGGAGTTTCTTTCCAAAACATTCCTGAGTCTCGAGCTTTAATTAGCTCCTCCAATCAAACCAATTTTCGAGGTTTCAATCAAACCAATTTTCGAGGATCATTCAACAGAGGCAGAGGGCGTCCAGATGCAGGAAGAGGTACAAACACACGTCCACAGAAAACCTGCACTCATTGTGGCAGAAACAACCACACAATTGACACTTGTTATCAGTTACATGGCTTCCCACCTGGATATAGAAACAATGGGCAAGTCAATCACATCTCCCACAATTCTACTCATGAATTCGATGATGAATTTGAAGAAAATGATGATGTACAACATCATGATGAGTCACAGCAGACGAATCTTGCACAAATCCAAGAACAGTATCAGAAGATTCTTGGATTACTTCAACAAAATACTTCAGGCATTAATGGCAGCAATATGTCTTCCACCAACTTTGCTCAAGCCTCTGTAGCCAATGTAAATTCCTTTTCAGACAAACACCATGTCTGCTCCTTAAACACAACAGGTAATATCTCTCACCAATGGATTCTAGATAGTGGTGCTACTGATCATATCAGTTCCACCAGTACCTGTTTCCAAACCTTATCAAAAATCCACCCAATTTCTATATCCTTACCCAATGGGACATGTGTGCATGCCCATTATGCTGGTAACATTTTTATGTCTTCACATTTCATACTCAAAAATGCTCTTTTTTGTTCCAGAATTCAAAGTCAATTTGATTTCCATTACAAAATTAGTAAACACTATCCCTTGTTCATTAACTTTTACTGATAATTTTTGCTTGATTTACCAGAACATTACCAAGATGAAGATTGGTACAACTAGACATTGTGATGGACTCTTCATCCTTGATACACCAAAAGCTCAAGCCTTAGCAACACAAATTCACAATCAAG